TAAGGATCGGCTGCACGACCATGGATTGGTCACTTGCTTGCAAAGCTCGCTGTCGTGATAAGGACTTTAAGTGTGAAGTTGATACCTCCCCCCGAACGGGGGGTGTGTGTGTGAAAGCCTTGACCATTGCTAAGGGTTTCTGGAATATTGACAAGCATCTTTTGTACAGTTGCAGGGGGCTCTGGGAGCCTAACTGGGACCAGAGCCAACGAAGACGCCCAGTTAGTGCTCGTGAAGCGAGGATGGACGCATCCTTGTGTACCTGCTTTTTTTCTGAATGGCAGCAGGCTAAGCCGAGAACCTGCATAGGGATGCTACTGTGTGTGTCAGGCTGTGGACAATTTCTAAGGTACCCGATGGATACACATGTCGGGGCAAAAGCCGTTGGACCAATTGGAATAAGCGCCATTTCTCCGTGTGTGTGTCACACTCTGTTACCAAGAGTTCCCAACGCTTCAGACTGCAGGGGGCCAGGCATCTGTGAGTGACTGTCCTGGCCAACGAAGACGAGACACCGCACAGGTGCAAACGTACCTGCATGCTCGCTCATGCATCCCAGCAGGGATAGCTTGGGGAGCCCAGTCACGTGCAAAGCAAGGGTGCCAAGATCAGCTAGCCGCCCCTGTGCGAAGGATCAGCTCACCCTCGTTTGAGCCTTGGCCTTGAGCCCTGTTTGGACTTTTGGTTTCCGAACATAGAAGTCGGTCTATCCAGAAGTCCAGACCGACATGGTTGCAAGTGTGTTCCAGGTAGATGAAGGGTTCATGTCTGCGTCGAATACCGTGCAACATGCGCTGGGGCAGCCAAGCTCGCACTCCTGCCAGTTACTGTTATTGCTGAAGTGCATGCCACCTTTGCAGTGCCTGCCATGTGTACATGTTCGTTTTTCCGTTGCTTGAGCATGCTTTTAACAACACATGTACATGTACCATAGTTGTAGGTGCCATGTCCAAGTAGCACAAACTTCAATTACTTCCTTTGTTTGCACGTAAGAGTCTCCGCCTAGCCATGTCGGGTGCCGCGGAGTATGGGACAAGGGACTTAGCAGACTCAGCTGTTCCACTTGTGTCTACCTCGCAAAGGTTATGAGCCCAATGCGTGGGCAGGGCTATGGCACCACAACAGAGCAGTCATCCCCACCTCCGGGGAGGGATGGTTTGCAACAGGCACCAGGTTCAACGAAAGCACCTGTACATGGCCAGTCAGGTGGAATAGGCCTTGAACCCAACGTGGCTACGGGAGGGTCTCTGGACGTAGAGCAGCATGAGCCGTCCGGAGGTTGAGGGGGAATGCCACCAGGGTCGATCATCGTCACGGGTAGTGATGTCGCATATCATGTTGTGCAGATGCCCGGTGATTCACCGGGCGAGAGCGCAGGTCTACAAACCAGCAGTGGCGTGCTAGGAACTGTGAGTGGTGACGCATTGTCAGGGGGAGTAGTTGCTTGGAACTCTCAAGTTGAAGGGTTTGTTACCCCACGATCGCAACTGGGATTGCCGATGGGGGCTTTTTCCGTGTAGCGCGCACTAAGGTCGTGCAGGTACCTGCAGTGTTGCAGGGCACACACGCCACACCACCACGAGCAACATCATAACAAACACGTGCTAGTCCGAGCGGTGCTTCAAGGCCCATGGCCTTGTGAGATGGGAGTTTGGATTCGCACACGAGCTTGCCACCACTGTTGGGAGTGCACGGCACGCCAACTTCCTTTGCAGCGCCCCCGCAAGGGATGGCACTTTGTTGAGCGCCGACATGCTGATTTGATGCTGGCAGTATCCATCATCTGCATTGGTAACATTGGTATCTGCTTCACTGCAGTGTGGGAGTTCTTCAAGTGGTGCTTTCAAGGCATCATCTCCCGCCGAGAGGCAGGGACAGCCGTGTCATCCCTGCGTATGCCATCCAGGCCGAGATCTCTGCACGTGAGGAGCAGCAAGCTCACAGTCTGTTGCTGCAGCTCCCAGACGCCGTCCCTCACAAACAATTCGCACTTGGCGTGAGCAGGCAGGTGGAGCTTCAGTTCATTACTTTGCAACACTTGAAAGGACCAAACTCCATCGCACTAGGACCTGTTCAACACTCGCGCGCTCGCACAGGTTTGTTGAGTTGCATCTGTGCCAGCAGTGCCACGGGAGAGCTGCCGACCACATCCAACACAGAACGGGGGTAGGGACCACTCCACCCTGACGGGTTGGATCTCTCAGTGAGCTCACCCTCACGCAGTGAGGGCAGTTGGCCCAGCTTTTGCCAGGTTGGTCAGGGTAGGTGTGTCGTCACCCTGACGGGTTGGACCTGCAGTAGCAAGTAGGTCGCAACTCCCTGGCGGGGTTGCGAAGGAGGAGTGCTGAAGTGCATGCNNCCTTTGCAGTGCTTGCCATGTGTACATGTTCGTGTTTCCGTTGCTCTTTAGGCTAAGCACAGTTTGAGCCTTGAGTGTGCCTTTAACAAAACATGTACCATAGATTGTAGGTGCCATGTCCAAGCAAGCTTCATCGATTTTCTTTGGTTGCGCGTAAAAGTCTCCGCGTTTCGAGTGAGCTATGTCGATTGCCGGGGAGTATGGGACATGGGACTTAGCTACTCCACTTGTGTCTACCTCCCAACCTGCTGGTTCGCTCCAGCAGTTATGTTGCGGCAGGGTTCGATCCGGTTGGATCAAGTCCGGAGTCCGGAGACAGGCCATCCGTGCTTGGGTCTCTCGGAAGGTATACTCATGCGACTCTTGTGTGTGTGTGTGTGTTGGGGTGGCATGGCTGGAGAACACCACTGAGATCCACCAGGCCATCCGTTCGGACACAGGTCATCGTTGAGCTGTCTGGTATTGCGACATGTGCACGGGCTGCGGCTGCTTGTAAGACCTGCGAACCGCATGCAGTGCAGTCGTATAGACTTTTTACAGTTTTCATTACGGTTGTCAGCACAGACGGGAGTAGCCGTTTACCGTGAAGGGCGTCTCCAGGAAGGCCATGCCTTTCAACTACGTTTACCTTTTCTCCGCGGGATAGTTTGGTGAGCCCCGTTACGAACAAGTAGGTGCCTTTGTGTCAAGATCAGCTAGCCGGCCCTGTGCGAAGGATTAGTTCACCATGGCTTGAGCCGTGGCCTTGAGCCCTGTTTGGACTTTTGGTTTGCAAGCATAGAATTTGGCTCTATCCAGAAGTCCAGACCGACATGGTTGGAGCTTGCGGATGAATACGCATGTGTGTGTGTGTGTGAGTGGGTGGGGGGTTAAGATCTAACCATGCAAGGCACGGGAACTGTTCAAGTTGTATCAAGAAGTGTGGTCATGGAGCAGAATTGCCCACCACCACGTGCCTGAAGGCTCCTTAATGACAGTGCTACATGTCAAGTGTCCACGACGCGGCTCTCTTGTGGGCAGTCTTGCTTAGAAGCAGTGGCAGGAGGCGGGAACAGGCAGCCCTTGTCTCTGGGCACACCGGGCACAAAGAGTGGCTTGCTGAGCACGCGCAGAATTCCGTGGGCTGCTTGCACATCGGAGAGTTTGAACGAGGCCTTTGACACCACCGGACAGTACCGCGCAGGCTTTGATTGCTCACAGATTTTGGCTTCATCAATGATTTGGCCATGAGGTCAATGTGAGCGGCATGCAGTCTCCTCGCGCAGCGGTCATATCGAACGCCCACACTTGGGCTTCTTTCCTGCGACCAACCTGCATATGGGATCTGTTCTTGGATTGTGACTGTTTCTGGTTGCCCTCTGAATCCAAGATCGCAGCCTGGAGCAAGTGAGAAGGACAAAGCCAGCACAAGATAGACGCTGAAGGCAATCGAAAAGAGAGCTGTTGCAACTTGCGGCAGGGTTCGGGAAAGTCTGATAATGTCAATGTGTCTGTTGTGAGCAGCCTCAGCACCTACCAGTTGCCATAAAACAGTTGCACCGACTTGAGGATCAAAGTAGTCTTGCTCCGTTACGCGGGGGAGTGCCTTTCTGGACGGGTATCAATGGTGGACAGGAAGTCCAAGAGTGCGGCTGATGCTGACTGCTTCAGCTGCTTCCGCTGGCTGTCATCGAAGCCCTTGGGCACCTATGCGAGGGCAGACCGTTCACCAGACACCTCCCCGCAAAGTTGGGGCCTGCCACCTGACATCGATGAGGTGCCCTCAAAGGAGAGACCTCGAGTTGGTAGCTGGGCATCTCCCGTCCCTTCTTTTGCAGCACCGTGGGGCACGTGGCAAATGCCGGAACCCAAGCTTCAGGTGCTGCCCCAGGCGCTGGATATTCAGCTAAGTATTTCCGAGACACCAGGCCACTATGTCAGCAAGGCTGTTGCTACTGCACAGCCTCACAGACTACAGGAGATCGGCTGGCGGCAGGCAGGGGCAAGATATTCTCCACAGCCTGGCTTCATGCTTGAACAGATCCTGGCATCACCGGGGAGACTGCCGCCACATGAATCACGCAGCGACAGAGCAGTCGCTGACGTTGAGAAGGCGTTGGCCGATTTGCCGAAGTATGCGTCCACCAACGAGAGAATTGCCAAGTGCCCTCGGCGGCTTCTTACCGAGCGTGGCCTTGCTGGACAGCAGCTCCGGCGTGGTATTCTAAAGGGCAGTACCATTGCCTTCATCACCACAGGTTATGAAGGCAAGCGTTTCATCTACGAAAAAGCCTGTGAACTGGGTGTTCGAAGTGTCCTCGTTGACAGTGCAGACTCCTGGAGTCGCCAGCTTGTTGATGAGGGCATTGCCGTGAAATTCTTAGCGATCGACATGTCGCAGTCCTCTGACCGCTTGCTCGACTTTTTGATCGAGGCCATCCGGAACCTAGAGAAGGATCCAAAGATCGGCAAAGTGGACGCCGTGGCGACGTTTGCAGAGCTGTCTGTTCCCTTGACTGCACGCTTGGCGGAGGCTTTGGGTGTACCAGGTCCGGCACCCGAGTCTACCGACCAAGCCAGGGACAAGTTCCTGACAAGACAGGCCTTGGCAAGAAATGGCCTCCCGACGCCCCCCGTCTATGAGATCCTCTCCGAGCAAGACATCGACCCAGCCATTCGGACCGTCGGATTCCCAGCCGTGCTCAAGCCTGTGCCCGGCCCTCAAAGCGACCCCCGATCTCCCGAGCGCCGTAGCCGAGCGCTGTAGCCTGCAGGGGATCCGAGGTCAGGTGCTGCCTCCGTCGGGGTGAAGAAGGCGGAGTACTGCCGAGTCGAGCTTCGTCGAGCTTTGTGCCGAGTTGCTCCCTTTTTCACGGCCTGAGAGGTAGAGAACGAGGCTGAGCTGTGGTCCGCATACAGTGTCCGAGCCTCAAGAAAGCAAAGTAGGCTGGCTGGCATATGCTGGCATGCTGGCTTAGGGCTGAACCGGAGCATTCCTAGGCTCGACACCACGAGTTGGGCTCCATGGTCATCTCTAGTGGTGCCATCATCAAGGAGTGCATGTGAGACTCTGGCATTGGATGAGCTTGGACAGCAACGGTTAGTTTTAAGCAGCGACCTGCCAGATCGGATATCGGCTCAAGCAAGGTGGTATATGATTCATATGATGTATGTATATGCCAGGCTGCAAAACATGTATGCTTTACTGTCACAAGGTGCGTGGGTGCAGAAGGGATTGCTGCAGTCGTTCTGAAAGGGTTCCGGGCGAGCCGCGTCGCATGGTTGAGGAAGCTGCGAAGGACCTCCGGCTAGAGTCCCGAGCCTGCAGAGGGGCCGAATGTGAAGAGCGCGCGAGGAGTTCCTGGAGCTGCCATTGGATTCCAGGCAATGCCTGCCTGCATTGCAGGGAACTCAGGCTCAGACCGTTTCAGTGCGACCGCGGTGCTGCGACTGGCTGCAGAAGCCTCGAGGATAGCGCTGAGGACGGCGGCGTTCTCGGATGGTTCCAGCTACACCCTGACATCTTCCTTGCAGAAGCGGCTCCTTCAACTTCTCAGTGCGAAGGAGCTTCCGAGAGTCTGCAGCGTGCTGTTCTCCTTAGGGTCTTTGAGGCCGCACAGGCTTTCTTGCAAGGATGTTACGGACGAGGTCCAGCAAGCAGCCAGTGAACTTTTGGATTGGCTGGAGTGTGGAGCTGCTACCTCGGCAGATGGAAAGCATTCGGATCGTTGACAGACCCTGTCCTGAGTAGAAATATGGTCACACGTCCTGTCAAGGAGCCAATGTTGGAGCATGGGCTGCTTGGGGTTCGGCCGCTCATGTTGGAAGTGTCCGGCTCGGAGGAGATGCGACGATGGTTTGTAGGCGGCCTGGCCTGGGATTGGGAAGCAATGCAGTCATCGTGTACTTGTAGTACTTGATGACTTACTGTCCGGTTTCCCTTTCCTATCATGCCACACGAGGCCATGCACCATCGGGTCTGGCAAACGATCCGTCATCTCAGTGCCTCTGCCGCAGGAGCCTCTCTGTCTCCTTGACCTCTCTGCATGTCCCTGTGAGAGCTTCTCGCGTTTGACGGCTCTCCGTGGGCCGCTCTCTTCCCCCTTCGCTTCTTCGCTGTTAGGCTGTGTCCACGAAGACTGCAGTGCACATTGCGCAGCTGCAAGAAGCAGGAGAAGGTCAAGAGCCCAATTGCGAACACGCTGAACCCAAGCAGCAAGCACATCAAGTTGCGTGCAAATTTCGGGTTGAGGATCGTCAAGGCCTTGACGATCACTTTGGGCCAGCATTGTGAAGTTCGCTTGCCAGGGAAATCTTAACCCGATCCATGCATCACCAGGGGAAAGCTATCGGAGCTGCGTTGGAGACATGCCAAGGTATCCTGGATCGCAGCTGCTAGCCAAACTGGTGCTGAGCTGTCCAGAATTGGTTGCCGAAAAGCGGGTGCTCGAGCTTGGGGCTGGGTACCATGGAATCCCATCAATGGCTGCAGTGCTGGCGGAAGCTCACACAGTCGTCACAACGGACGTGGACCCGCCTGCGCTTCATCAGCTGCGGCTTAATCTGGCAGACGTCATGAAGGGACAAAGTATCTCAGACGCGAAGGAGGGGCCGGTCGACCGGTCCGAAGTATCGGAAATAGCTTCACTTCAATTTTCCCATGCGGAGGATTTCGACGACTTCGAAGCCTTGGCCTTGGATGGCTGGCGACTAAGAGTCTGAAAGTGCCTGAAAGCGGCATGGGATGCATGTGTCGGCATCAGAGAGCCAGGTCTCGGTCCGAAGGTCTCCGTGCTCCGACTGGATTGGTGTGCTCTGCCCACATCCGCCCCATCCTTCCAGGCCAGGACTCGTGGCCGGAAAAAAAGCGGAACTGAGTCAATGGGCACATGCTAGGGGGCCCCTTGCTAATGTAACTCGGGGGGGGTTCGCTGACACGTAGAGGGCGGCCCGGATACGTCAGAGGGTTGCCCCCTCCCTGGGTTACGTTTTCATCCGGTGCATGCTTGCACGTGGTAACCTGGGCCTCTGTTCCCAGACCCACCCCCAAATATACATTTCGGGTTTGTGGGGCTTATTTTTTTATCACAGACGTGACGCCATTTATCGATCCCGCCTCCGGTTTGCGGGGCTCGACGTTGCAGGGGTTCAGCTTGTGCTGGTGCCGCTTCACAGGCAGTGTGAAGCATGTTCGGAGCATAACCTGAGCACGACTGTGAAATACAGTCGCTTTGATTGGGTTTGGGCTGGCCGAGACAGGGGATGGGGCTCTCCCCGAGCCCGGGGATCGCGCAGCCACTGCCACTTTCCCGCACTGTAGACTGTAGACCCTGCCAACCTAGATTCTTGTAGCTGTCCAATTGCAGGGCCGGCACTGTGTCCGTAGCCAAGAAGACAGTTGAGAGCCCTTTGATTGCGCCGCATTGATGCCATACACGATGTCTTTGCTTGCATACTCGGCCCGTAACCCTACCCCCGACAAAAACC